AAAAAAAAAAAAAAAAAAAAAAAATTGTTAAGAATATTTTATCCAGGTTCCTACTTGTTTTCAGTTATGGGGTTGGGGTGGGGCGGGGGAGGGCGATGACCTGACGCAGTGTTACTGGATGAGGAGTCCGGTCTTGCTTTGCTTTCTGTGACTTTTCTGTCTGGTCACTGGTTCTCCCGCCCTCCTACGCGCACCCCCCTACTCTGACACTTTTGCTTCTTTCATTCTCCAGTTCCCTTCCAATCCTCTTTCCCTTCTCTTTACTCCCCTCCCCCAGCTCAGCACTTCGGGTTTCCTGCTTCTTTCCGTTCGCCCTTCCTCCCGGGCAGCTGTCTCTGTCCCATTCTGTTTCCTGCTCTCCCGCCCCCCAGCTCCTTCCCTTCCTCCTTTCTCCTGGGCCTTTCTCTGCTGCACCTTCCACAGCTGCTCCATTCCTCCCCATCCTCGTCTAGTCCCATTCGTCGTCCTTTCTCTCCCTGGGTCACAGAGATGGCCCTGGGGTGGCCGCACCCTGTTGAGGCAGGGAACGTTTCTGTGAGGCTGGGGAACATTTCTGCTGCATGGCCAAGTTCCCAGGCCCTCTCCCTGCCTTGCAAAGGCTCCTAACCTGCTTCACGTCCCTGCTTCCTGCCCTGGTCTCTGGGCTGACGCCGTCTTAGGGGCGCCCCCTCCTCAGCTGGAGGGGCAGGGTCCTCTGTCCCCTACCACTTCCAATCCTCTCTCCCTTCTTTCTCTCCATATTGCTCTTCCACACTCCCACACCTCTTCTTTCCTTTCTGCTTTTTTCTCACTCGCTCACCCAGGCTGGGGTGCAGTAGTGCAGCCTCCACCTCCCAGGCTCCAGTGATCCTCCTGCCTCAGCCTCTCAAAGTGCTGGGACCACAGGTGCAAGGCACCATGCCCGGCCTGTTCTTTTCTCTCTGCCCTTTTTTGTATTCTTTTTTCCTTTCTCCCTTCCTTCTTCCCTAATGTCTCTCTCCTTCCCTTCTTCCCTTCCCTCCTCTCTCCAGCCCTCTCCTACCCTCCTTTTCTCTTTTCCCCTCTCTCCAGCCCTCTCCTACCCTCCTTTCCTCTCTCCCGCTCCGCACCACTCCATCCCCTCAGTCCAGTCTGCTGTCTCTGCCCCCTCTCTGTTCTGTTTTCTCTCCCACCCTCATTCCCTCTCCCATTTCTTCTCTTTTCCCCTCTTCCTGTTCTCTTTTTCTCACTGTCCTCTCTGCTGCCACCCTCCTTTTTCTCACTCCGCTGTCCCCTCTTCCCCACTCTTCTCTCTCCTCTCTTCCTTCTAGCAGATTCTCTGGCGTTTCCTCTCCTCTCCCTCTGTGCTCCTCCCTCCTTCTCTCTCCATCCCCTTTCTCTCCTCCCTGCCACTCTCCTCTCTCTGCGCCCTTTTCTATCTCATGGTCTCCTCCTAGCTCTTTTCCTTCCCCGTTCCTGGCTCTCTCCTTTCTCTCTTTCCTCTTCTCTGGCTGGAGCTCCCCACTCCTTCATCCCTCCCTCTCCCTGGGCAGTCGGCCCCCACTCCCTCACCCCCTTCTCCTAGGCTGCTCCCTCCTTCACCCGTTTCTCTGCCTCCCTCTTCTCCCAGCTCACCAGCCATGACACCCACCCTCTACCTCTCTTCCTTCCTGTCCCTTTTCTCACTCCATCTTTCTTTCCCCTGTTTCTTCCTCTCTTTCCACTTCTGACCCCTCACTCTGTTTCCTTCTTTCTCCCTCCTCCTCTCTCCCCTCCCGCTCTGGCCATCCTTTCTTTCCTTTTTTTTTTTTTTTTGAGACGGAGTCTTGCTCTGTCGCCCGGGCTAGAGGAGGGCAGAAGGCAATGCAAGCTCCACCTCCCGGGTTCATACCATTCTCCTGCCTCAGCCTCCCGAGTAGCTGAGACTACAGGCGCC